ACCCATTCATTTCTGCCAGTAGCTCAAATTGTGATCTATATGCTTCCCACGAATTCCTGTGGCTTCCTTCGTACTGGATCACCCCTATTACTAATATTCATATCTGGGATGTGACTTCTAACAGGACTGAAGATGTAGTCTCTCTTCTTGTTTATGTTCTTTTTCCTCCAACAACTGCTGTAATCTCTCTAGTTTAGTTTGCTGTTCCAGCTGCTACTGTTGCAGGTTCTCCAGCAACTGCTATTGTCTCTCTTCTTGTTTTTTTTCTTTTCCCTTCAACCACTGCTGTAATCTCTCTTCTTGTTTCTTTTCTTTTTCCTCCAACCACTGCTGTAATCTCTCTTCTTGTTTATTTTCTCGTTCTTCTTGTTTTTTTTGCTGCTCTTGTGTTGCTGCCATCAAATCTGCTGATCTGTAGTTTGATTTGCCGCCTCTCGTTTCCATTTTTTTTTTGTCCCACTCTCTGACACCAATTTGGTACGCCTCCGTTCGTTTGTTAATTTTCCGTATAATTTCTTTCCGAAGAAACTTTAGCGATACAAGTCCTTTCTTAAATAAAACTGGTTTATTCTTTCTAAATACAATTTTGCAATACACTTAATTTCCACAGTCACGCTATAGCAAACGCTATAATTCACAACCAACGTCTCACGTGCTCGACTCAACAATACGTCTCTCTCTCCGCAGTTCAATACACATTGTTGCCGTCAGTTCTTGGCGGCTTATATACAAGACTACCGCATATCTAGTAGCCTCTCGAAGTTTCATGAACGTTCTAGAAGCGCATGACTTGTTACTAGCGTCACGTGACCTCCGCTGTCGTAACAATATATTGTACTGTAGATCAATAAATGTGCTATTTATTTATTTATTCAGTTTATTATATTTATTTATTATTTTACTTTATTTTCAGCTTTGTGTGTAAAATAATGGTAAAAATTTCAAAGTTCGTTTATCGAATATACGCATATCGAGGTATTATTGTATAATATTTTTTGCTTTATTAGTTTTTGTGATCTGAATAAACTGATATTGTTGCCATTATCGCGTTTGAAATTGAGGTTGCGTCCAAGCGAAAGTGATAGCAAAGTTTAACCTTAGCTGTCCGAATAACATATCGAATAAAAACGTTTTCACATACACGTGTATTCAAAATAAATTGCAATTATTTTTAAAATGCTCTAGTATTAATAAAAACGAAAGCAAGTTTTAAGAGGAGTAATTTATATTCGTTGCTGTTTATACAAATGTATTTAACGAAGAAAATCTGGGCAAAGTCCAACGGTATATAACATTCAAGGATAGAAAAAAAAACAACAATATGTTTTGTTATACATAAGTAGGTAAAAGGCACATGAAATGAACATTTTGCTAAGTAATAAAAATGCAAAGCTTGCGGACAAGTGGTAGCCCGATCTTTCATTATAACTTTAAAATCTGTCAGTTAATCTAGGCAAACAGTAAACAGTTGCATCGCAATACTCTTTCTGTATATAACTGATATGAATTTGTCACATTTATTTTTCTAATAAATACTCATTTTGATATCGAAAAGAAACGTTCAGAAGAATGACCTGTAACTCGAATAATCCAGCCACAAGGTTTTAGACTTACCGTGAAATCACTGGAAGCCCTCTATTAATAAAATGTTACTTTTTTAATGTTGGAATAATATTTACCACGTCACATATAACATATTGTTCACTCTTAAATGTTATTATTTACCCTTTCTATTTCTTCACTGTATTTTTTTCCAGTACAAAATTTAGCTTCAACTTTGGTTTATGCTAAATCAAAAATGTCCGATCTGCAATGCAGAATATGAAACTAGAGTTTTATTACTTTAAACAGCTAAAATATGCTAAGAAAATTAAAACAAAATAATAGAGAGTTTTCTATTTTTGGAAGGAGTTTGCAAAATCAATGCTTTGCTTATTAGTACTCTGTCAAGCTGAATCCATGTTAGAAAAAATACCTGCTTCAGTTTGGGGAAAATATTTCACATTTTCATCAAACATCCACATACTAAGAAATTGATTTTGGAATAAAAGTAAAAGAGGGACATCCATTAAAACAGTCAAAGCCATGTAATTAACTAAACTGCATATAAAATGTATTTATATTATATTGTTCTCTGACCTTGCCAATTAGCCTACATATACTTAAGGTGTCGTTCAGGTGGAAAATTCTGATTCCGTATTTTTAGAGTATTTTGTGTTTCGTCCGAAACTGAATGCTTTTGTAGGTGGATGCTTAGTGGATTTTACTTGCTTTCGATTTTACTTCCTTAAATGAAAACTCTGACTGTGTAAATATTAAACTCAGCTTTATATTAATTGAGTAATCGATAAGAACTATTACCCTTCCCCTTGGAAATAAAGGCTTATCATTCGTTAAAGGCATATTAAAAGAAACAATAGAAATAAAAACAAATCTAATATTTTTTTATTTTATACGTTATAAATATTCTTGGAGAATGGTTAACCTATTAAACAACATAACTCAAAAGCAATTATTACTTATAAGACCCAACTTGAATTAATTGAAATTTTTGGAAAAAACGCCTAAATATGATTACTGGTATTTCTGATTTTACACACACACACGTGGAGAGGGTAAGGACAGAAACACAAACCTAATTCCAAATAAAATATATCTTATTGTTTGTTTGTTTGAAGTTATGCACAAAGCTACACAATGGGCTATCTGTGCTCTGCCCACCACGGGTATTGAAATCCGGTTTCTAGCGTTGAAAGTCCGCAGACATACCGCTGTGCCACTGGGGGGCAGGTCTTATTTATCGATAATTCTAGCAACCACACATTGTAACAAATTATAAAATTCAAGTATGAATCACGTTATTTGTGCTGTTGTGATGAGCCTTCAACAGACGAAATTGTTGGCCACAGCAGAAGGTACAGCCAATCAAAAAATGCATTAAGCCTTTTCATCACAGATTCTATTTTCAATTTCATCTCTGGTGACAAAGAAAAGAAATTCTTAACATACATATATATATATATATGTATCATCTTGTTTCTTCTTTTTCGCATGAAAAATATGATAACAGCTTGCGACAAATTAGATAACACAAACGACACATCACGTGCAAACTACTGTTTATTAACTTAAAAAAATCTTAAAGTTTGCGGGCAGCTGGTGATATGTTTTTTATATGAAATGTACTTTGTTTTTAGTATTGCCAGCTTGGTATTTCAAAATTATACTTAAACATACTTCTCTTATATAACCATCACAGTTCAGGCTGAGAACTTTCATGGATAGTCTAGTAACGGCATCGATCTTAAAATCTTATTTTTATACATTAATTTTTGAAGATGGCGTTGTTTAACTTTACGCTTTGTTTGTTTGAATTTATGCACAAAGCTACACAATGGACTA